TTAACTCTCTCTGTCTCTCTCCCCTTCGGTGAGAATATGTACCCTATGGCAAGAAAGGGAAAGTGAGGAATCACCCCAGAGGGGATGGCCACACCGCAATACTTACTCCTCCATTCTCCTCCTGGGACTTTGGGCATGTATACACATGTGCTTGGCATGATTTTCAAGCCACCAGATCTAGAACTCAAACTGTGGTTGGTCATGAGGTAATCCAGCACCCTAACCACCATGCCACCTGCTGGCCCAGTATAGGTTTACTTTCTAAGCTTTCTGGCAATTGATTATAGCAAGGTTTCATGAGGACAGCACAGACATTCATGTGGGGAAAAATATCCAGAATTAGTGGGATTTCAAAGATGGCTAAGAGCTTTTAATTTTCTTAAGTACTCTATTTCTTATAGTATGTACATGTTATAGTTTACATATTTGTTACCACCCAGTTTTTTATAAAGTGAGCCCACCCATGTGACTAGCACTGAGAACACTAGCACCTAAAACATCAGTTCTCAGCAAACCTTGATATTACTCTCAGTCAGAATCTCCCAAAGGTTCTATCCTAACGCTAACACCATAGGTTAGATTAACTAGTTCTTCTAAACTTCATATTGATAAAATTTTATGTCAGGACTAGCAGTTAGCCTAATGGCTATGTCGCTGGACTCCCGTGTAGTTGACCACAGTTCGAGTCCCAAACCCGGTGGCTTAAAATTCATGCCAGGCGCGTGTGCGTGCATGCCCAAGATCCTGAGAGGAGAATGGAGAAGAGATTGCGGTGTGGCCATCCCCTGGGAGGATGATTTCTCACTTTCTGTCTCTCTGTCTCTGTCTTTCTGGTGGGCGCACATACCCTATAGCAAAAACCTCTCAAATAAATAAATAAATAAATAAATAAATAAATAAATAAAATTTTGTGCCACACTACTCTGTGGCCTCTTTTGTTCAATATTATGTTTATAAAATTCATCTACACTATAAGTTTAGTTTGTGTCCTCATTACTGTATAGTATTACATTATTAAAATGTAATGTATGCAATAATTATTTTATAATAGTAATTAACTATAATAAAATTATATTGTAATGATCAAAATACACTATTCTTTACTGTCATGTCTTATTGAAAATATTTCTGAGATTATTCTAACTTTCATAAATTAGTAATTTCTATCACAAGTAGGGGAGGAAAGATGACATGCATTTGAAAATGTGGATGCGGATTTTTATAAAAAAAGAATGAAGGGAAATAATTTTTTTTTAAGTTTCCCTTTGAGAGGTGGCTTTACATGTTTAGAAAAGCATATTATGTGATATTAAAGAGAAAAGTAGAAATGATTTTAAAATTGTCCTTGTCCTTCATAAAAAGTGTTGAGTCACGGGAGTACAGTCATGGAGAAGCAGTAACACAATACTCTGTTGAGGCTGATCCATGTGGGAAGGGTCCAGGTTTGTGTCTGGAGATCTTCCTATAGATACCTAGTATATGATCTGGAGCTGGTTGAAGCTAGGTGTAGATGGTGGCATGAAAACCCTGCTGGTGTTGCCTATCTCTTTCTCTCTCTGTCTCTCTCACTCATGGAAATAATTAATTAATTAACTGTTAGCAGTAAGCAGAGCTTGATTGGTCTTTCAATAATGCATTATTAAAAATATGTTGCCATTCAAGAATAATATGGAAACCACATCTTTATGTCAATACCTGGTATAATAACTATATATATATTAGTACCTCATATAGCATCTGGAAATTTTATGTCTTCAGATATTTTTTGAATGAAATATGATGCAGCAATATGATGGGAAATATTAAGCCCAGTTATCTACCAGAGACTGGGGATTTTTTATATTTTTATTTTTTTCTTTCTGTTTGTTTCTCCCTTCCTCAGCATCATGGATCATGAGAACCTGGGATAAACCGTCAGCTCTTAGGACCTTAGTTCCTGACTTGTCAAGTGGACAAAATGACCTGCCCTCCTGACAGTAACGGGTGCTCCTGATTGGGCATGGGACCATGCCATTCACTTTATGTCCTTGCATCCGTATGCACATGCAAAAGAAAAACACCATTACTGTCCCTATTTTATACCCATAACATCTGAGTCTCAGCATGGTCAAGGTGTCTGCCTAAGATTCTGGAGATGGGCTTCAATCCTACAGTCTGGCTCTGAAGTCTGTGTGTTGAGCCATGCTCTGTCACCTGCCTCAGAGGCTCACTGTTACGATGACTATGTTAAAATAGAAGAAAAAGCTCTGTTAACTATGCAATGCTATTTAAATGTGGCAAGATTTCCTCTGTGGGAAAGATCTACCCTCTCTCCGAGAAGCCTGCTGCCTCAGTGTTGGACCTGTAAGATCTTCAGAAAGAAAACATGGCCTACCTGGCCCAATTGCAGCTCTTTATTACTGCTCTCCAAGGACTCTTCTATGTTGTTCTCCAGGGGTACTGGGGCTAGGGTCTTGCTTCTGGCAGTTCAGGAGTCCCTGTCCTGGCCCAGTGACTCACAGGATCCAACTCTTCACTGCGGCTCTCTCAGTCCCCCTCCTGATTCTCCACTTGGACCTGGGAGGATGCAGGGGTCCTTTTCCTGAGGGATTCCTTGGCAGGGGCCTACTCAGTTCTGACTTGGAATGGGAAGTCTTCACTGGGGGCTTTGCCTGAGATGATGATGACTCCTTTCTCTCAGTCCTGACTTGGAATGGGAAGTCTTCACTGGGGGCTTTGCCTGAGATGATGATGACTCCTCTCTCTCAGTCCCCCTCTGGCCTCTGGACTGGACCCATCTGGGTTGGAGCTGCTGGGACCACTGCCCTCCCCACAGCTGGCTCAGATCCTGGACTCTTTGATGTTCTCACTGATGGCCATGCCTTGGCCGGGGGCCCATGTTTGTCTTGGGCAGCGGCAGTGACTACTTTCCCAGGAACTGATATTGCCCTTTTTGTAGAAGACATTCTGTTGGGAGCTGGACTGGATTTGGCTTGAGAGGTTTTAATCTAGGTTGGTGCCATGGCTGCCTCCTCACTGATTCCTCCTCAGTGCTCTCAAGAGTCTTACTGCACCTAAGCTTTGACCTGGAGACTGGAGGCTGTCTTCCCAGGGAGTACTGGGTTACCCTCATAGGGACAGAGTCAGCTTTCCCTTGGAGGCCTTTCCCCAGACTTCTTCTATCCCTCTACTGCAGAAAGAGCCATCCCTTCCTCAAGCCTCTGACTTCTCCCTGCTTCTTGAAGAATCTTCCTCTGGCTCCTGGGCGCTCAGAGCCACAGCTGGGACTGGGCAGGCTGGAGCAGCTGCTGTTCCTGCTTTCTAGGGACCTGGGGTGCTCACTCGCTCTGGGCAATCTTGGCAGATGCGTGGGTCTCAGGGTGCATTTCCTTGGGGAAACCTTGGTCTGAGGAGTTTTCAGGGCTGGTGTTGTCTGAGCTGGAGCCATAGCTGCCAGCACCGCCTCCTCACCGGTAGACTGTCCTCACCGCTCTCGTATCCTCCCTGGACCTTTGCCCTGACGTGGGTAGCCTCAGGCTCTGCCTTCTGAGGGGTGCCTCGACAGTCCATTTTCCCAAGGGCCCCTTGATGGGACCTGAGGCGGTGCTCCTTGAGGACTTCGCCGGCTGGGCCACAGCTGTCGGTGCCCCCTAATCGCTGTCCCAGGACTCCCGAGGATGCGCTCTGAGCCTCTTCCGGCTCCCGC